AGGAAAAAAAAAAAGTCAGGTAAGGCACAAGCCACAATATATGCTCAGTTTCATTTAAAAATGAGAGTTTCTCTATTGCTAATTCTACTCCAAGTGTTGCTCACTTACAAATCTAGTGGCATAAAGGGACCAAAATGTGAAGCCTAATCTACCCTGCTGACTTCAGTTTGAGCCTGCAATGGTACTTCCCCCCCACCCCCACCCCAAAGGCAAAGTGCTTTTGGTGTTCTAGTGCAACCAATTTATAAAAAGGTATGCCCTCAAGACAATGTGATACACAAACCTTATTGCCAGCTGGGAAAAAAACCCTCATACATACCTATTTTACACTGTCTCCCAGAGCTCCAAAACATTCTTCTTGAAAATTAGTGGGGCAAGTCCCAGAGTAGAGAAGACAGCCAGGCTTGGCAATATGCCTTTCCCCTCCTTGACCTGGGCTCCCTGGACATCCCAGTACTTTGCAATTCCCAACCTGTCCATCAGAACAGTTATGAAACCGCACACTCTAGCTGAAGAGGTTTGAACAAAGTAGAACCAAGATTGATTTAATGAACTTCTATGACAAATTCGTTAACAGAAAGCTTCAGAATCCTTGTAACAGCCCAAACTGTTGGAAACCGAGCACAGCATAACACAGGACTGGCAAGGCCAGCCCAGCATCAACCACAGAGCAGCAACAGAAGAAGCAGCATGCTGGCTGGCCTGCAAAACATGCAGATCTACACCAACACCCTAAGATCACTTTCATCCCCCATGGTGGTCAGAAAGAGCAAAGTAGCCAAGATTGCTGTGGACTTCAAGGGAAGTTACATTCCACTTGAACTTGGGTGAAGCAGTCCTCAGTAGAATTGCACAAAGCAGCAGAATGGATACCCATAAAAAAATCTTACTGTTGCACACAAGGTGCAGAAAGAATATTTGTGACTGACCAAACTGATCAAGCATGGTTTCTACATAAGTATGTCCTGTGGCTCCTAGTCCCTTCATACCCCTCCAGCACAGCTACCCCAATTCCCAACCACTATTCATGTCCTATTAGCAATCCCACTGAGCAGGAGGTGAACGTAACCTGTATGTCCCCCAGCTACCATCAAATGACATGGAACAAAGACAACTTGGTCACATCTACCCAAACTAATCCACTACAATGAAGGGCAGATGTCTCTCATTCAGCCACTCGTTTCCACAAATTTGAGGAACATTTGTCAGGACTTCTATTCCATTTATTTTCATGTTAACCAATGGGTTCAAAAGACACCTGGGTCAGGATCAGACAACCTATGCAGTCTAGTAGCATCAGCATGACTGTCTTTAATTTTGCTTCTCAGCTGCAGATGGGACAGAAGGCTTTAAATCCCTAAATGATGGAATAAAAAACCGCTAGTACAATATATGAAGACACTGGCCAATATGTCTACATTAAGAAAAAGGACAAATAACTCACTTTCTCCCTCTGCTTTCAACTGGATTGTCACAGGAAACCGCAAAGTGGAATCATTGCAGGTTTGTCACACAGCAACTGGTTCAACAAGACTGCAGAATTGCAGCTATTTAGCTTCCTCTAGAGTTTTGCTCCTGATTCTGAAGCACAAAAAGTTCTCATCAAGCAGCAAAGGACATTTAACTGTTTCAGAAGTCACCTAGAGCAGAAGCAGCCAGTTCAAGACTCCTCCATTAGCACAGCACCAGACAGCTAAAAAAAATCCAGCCTAATATTCTCCACAAAAAATCAATGTGGATTTGAGTATTTCTGATAATGAATGATTTAGACATGTAAATGCACAAGCACCAGCAGTATGAATGGCATACTAAAAATATTAACAAAAGCCATGCCACTAAATGTTCCAAGCAGTATGATGGATTTAATAGTGCAGTCCTTACACTTGCTCATTAAATTTTACTTACTTTTAATAGAATTTGCTGGCAAAAATATGAACTAAGGTTACATAAAAATATGCATCTCCAGTTTTTACATGTATTTATTCTTCCAGATAGACATATTTACTCTAAACAGCAGAAAAAAGTAAAAAGAACACTCATTTAAATGGCAGAAAACTAGTAGAAGATGCTAATATGACCTTAGTGTAGCATGTCAAGTGTCACTGCCACCAGCTTCCTAGTCATTTTAAGAACTATCTGCTAAGACAATTAATTACATAGCTTAAAAGATTAGGTCAACAGTGTCAAATACGAGAATATGAACTTGAAATTTAGCCTTTTAAAAATGTGTGCTGTCTATTTAAATGTGTACATAAATTTGTGAAAGAATAGTAAGTTTCAGAATTGATAAGTTACTTCTCAGGAGAAGCAGTGGTTTTACCTTCCCATAAAAGAAACCCAAACTTAGCAATTAAAGGCTGACAAAATCCCTTGGCTGAGAGAACAGCTATACTTGCAGCCTGCTGATCTAAGGGCTACGTTAGAAGAAAGCAGTAATTACAAGTTGAGATTTAATATAACATAATTTTAGAGTAATGGCAATACCAATTTACTGGTATTTTGAAAACTAAAACAGCTTTAAACAAATGGTATACTCTGGATTCTTCTTGAATAGTTAAAAGTCAACCTGAACACCTTCTTGGACACCTCTTATTACCATATCTTTTTCTTCCCCCAGTGAGGTCTACAGCTAAGACTCATAGCTAGGACATAGGTTAGTTACTTAGCTTTTAATTCTGGTGCTCGTGCTTGAAGCATGTCACCCTCCCCAGGCTCAGTTCTCAGATGGTCAAGTTTACCATGATTCAAGTCTCTTTGCAGGAGTTTCAGCCTGTCTTCTCTTCCTCAGGGCAAGATAGATATCTGCTACCTGCCCAGCCAGCTGAACTCACCCTTTAGCTACCTTTAAGATTGGTAAGGTGTCATGTGGAGAAGATTACTAAGTCCTTGGAAGTCTGCTAGCTTTCAAAAGTTGTAGGATTTTTAGAAATCCCAGAGAAAATATAATCAACTTCAGCAAGAGTAATTAGAACTCATTTCATCCTTGTGCCAAAGAAGGAGCCACTCCAAAGATACCAGAGCACCAGAGAGAAGTTCTGCCCATCAGCACAAGGTACCCAACTTTGGATGAGTTGCCTGACCATAAGCATTAGAGGTGTGCAGAATGAATTGCTGTCTCAAGGTGCCTGCAACCTTCCAAAAGCTGCAGAGAAAGCTGAAGTGGCTGGATACAATTAACTGCCTAGCTTTTAAGTGCTCAAGTTCAAAGACAGGCATCTCCTTGCAGTGACCTGAGGGAACAGAAAAGCCACCAGCTGGGTGGCTCCATAGCCCAGCTCCATCAGTGACTGATTAACAGATGCCAGACAACAATATGTTTCAGGCAAGTTTGTCACAATGCTTTCCCAAAACATTCTCTCATAACTTCATGACCTTCTAAACCAGGGGTAGAGGTGTGTGTTTAATAGCGATGCTTACAATTTCCCTGCCTGAATTTGCCCATCGGTCATAACTTACATGTTAAATGTCTGGAAATTGCTGTTCATATTTATAAATAAATTGACATTTCTTTGAAAACTACAATAGGGATAAACACAAATAGCAAGATGCCAGTCTAGAGGACACTATACAACCAGAAGCAGGGCCTAGAATAACTAATTGACACTTCTCAGCCACTCACATAGTGCCCATAATTTTATTTATTTACTACTACAAACCCTTTAAGCTACACATTAGTAGCAAATAAACTGCATGTAGAGAAGAAGTGTTTATGTGCTAGAACGTAAGAATATTTTCAATTTTTCCTCATGCTTAATTGTCTGCAAATGTTTGGAGTCTTAAGTGAGATTTTTGCTACATATGTTTTGATACGTGTGTTTTAAATAACACATACTAATCTTACAGCTCATGCAGCAAGTAGTTTAGAGTTCAATAGGTTGGGTTCTATTGGTTTGTTTGTGGAGGGTTTTTTTTGTTCATGTTCATTTTCTTTTAAATCCATCTCAATTTGTAGGGCTTTCCTTGGGTATAGCCTGATACATGCCAAAGTACCTACTCTGTTATCTCCTCAACATGCATGACCTTTGGCAGTTCCATTCCCTTCCCCATTTCATGCACTCTTAAAAAATTCAGTTCCAAAAAGGGAAGAACTGTTTGAGATAGAAATCCACTGGTATATGCAGAGAGCAGACAAGGACAAGCAGAATACCAACAAAACCAACACTTTGCTTCTCTTTAGAAGATGCACAGTAACAGGGATCAGATGAAACTGCTTGTATTTCAACAATCAAGGAGCAACGTTTGCACAAGACACTGATGGGTAAGCCTGAAGCATTCTCCTACCAAAAAAAAAATTATCTTTTTTGTCTCGCAAAAGTCAGTCTGATACCTGCCTCCACTAACTTAAGTCTCACATTTATGTTGCTCTCATGACATGCTATTCATCTACACCTCACTTAAGGGCCTCTTTACTATGAGAAGTAGGATCCACAAGGTAATAACTGAAGGTGGTGTGTGCAGAACAAGCAAGAGACAATTTATACTCAAAAGAGTTTTGTTTTAACAGAAGTAGACTGCTAGACTTTCATGCCTGAAGCTCACCACTCAGATGGCCTTGCTCACATATGTCTGGTTATGGATATAATGCAGTTGAGTTATAATTTATTTTCACTTGCTTCCATCAAATTAATTATCCATCTACTAAAATGCGAACTGTATCACTCCTGATACAGTTCAAAAAAATTAAAGTGTCCTCACCAAAACGTAAGGACTTCAGAGCCATGGTAGAGAATGGATTTTTGGCTGAACTGGTAACAAGATTGAGAATTACAGATCTTCCAGAACGTGGCAGATCTGTATTGAAGTTGGAAAGGCATCTTGGACATGACTGCTAAGTCACATCCTCAATCTCTTTATTTTTTAATAAAGTGCTTCACCAAGAAGCACTCTTAACAGTGACATTACACTCTATTAAAAAAACCCTACAAATCAAACTACCAGTGTCAGCTTTTCAGTATTGCTCAACTGCCTGTAATGAAGTCCAAAAACAGAAGTATACTCACTTGTAAGCTTGTTGTGACTCAGAACCAGCTGTGTGATGTGAGACAACGTAACTGCAAATGAAGAGAGAAAGAAGTTAGTTTACAGGCATGGCAACAGAGAGCTTCTGCCTATCTCAGCTAAAAAAAGAGGCAAGGTATTCTCTCCACTCCAGTAACTCCAGATTCATGTGCATGTCACAATAAACAAGACAAGCTCAAGACTTAGAGACATATCCAGCCACTCCTCTGCCTCTTCCCATTTTTGTTATTGCATCAAACATGACTTGAGCAGTAAGTACACTCCCAACAGAGGTCTGGTTCTGGGCACACAAGCACCTTTCTCATTTCCATCCTTTCAATACTTCCCAAGGAAAAACGGATAGGTACTCTGATACTTACCCCAACAGAACACGTCACAAAAGCAATTACATTTCCACACGTTCCCAATTCGTTATCAAGTCACTGCTAGATTTACGTCCTAAGTACCAATAGCTGCATTTACAACCTCGCATCCACGAAACACAGTAGCAGACTAGCCTTGTTGTTGCATGGTGAATGGCCAGGTGTCAACATGCAATATTTACTCAAATTAATTGAATGATCTGATTGATCAAAGCCCCTCAGATTCCACCTTACTGAACAAATGAGTGTGGGGCACAGGGCAGCTACAGAGACCGGCACTCCTCTATACTTCTTCACCCTGTACATTTCTTCTTGCCTACTTCCACCCTCCACACCACCATCGCTTTCCCTAGAAGCTCCATAGCCCAAAATTGACAACAGCATCTGATCAGAAAAGTATGCTAAATAGTCAGAAGAGAAACTCACACTACAAAGGAGTTCTCAACTATCTTCCCTCTTCCTGAAAGAAGTTTGTAATATTTTATTGGAACTAGACAGACAGATTTTCCTCCCCTACACCTTTTCCTTACTTCCAGTGTAGCAACCTGTTTCAGCTAACCCTTGAAAGCTCAGGGCTTACTACAAGCAAATACAACCTGTCAGCAGAATGAAAGCAGTCACTCAAAGGCAGAGAAAGATCAGAAAGTTCAGTGCAAAAAAAAAAAAAAAAAAGCATCACCACAGTTGCCTGCACAATTGCAGGTTGTGGAGAAAAGAAAGGAACAGTGCATCCACCCTAAATTTCTCCTAAAACATGAGTGCTCTAAGTACTGCCTGCACCACCTCAAAGCAGAAGAGGACAGAGAAAGAAGCCCACAGAAAGCCTGCAAGAATATTGTAGAAAAACCAGCACTAAAGAGCAGCACTCTCCACAAAGAGCTTTAATCTTTAAAACATAAAAGGCATACCAGCATCTGAACCATAAGCAACCATTTGACACTATTGACTACTTACACATATAGCTAAATATAAGGAATGCAATTTACAGCAAAAAATGAGAAAAGATGCTGAAGATAGTTACAGACTTGTGAACAAATGCCTAAGTACTCCTTATGCATTTATCTTGGTTTAGATATTTTAATAGCTATGGCAATCATTGAAAGTCAACATTTCACAGGCCCTTGATATTCAAGCCTGACTAGCAAGAACACAGCCACCAGAAGGGCAGCTCTACCAGTTGGCCTCCTGAGAAGTGCTCTAGTCTGACATCTCCAGCTCCAAGACAACTTAATCTAGTTCAGAGACAGATCCAAACTGACATCACCAACGCCAGGAAAAAACATCTTTTCCTGCACTTAACCTAAGAAACAAGTCATTCTAGAGCTCTGAGGCTTTGTGCAGACTCACCAGCATCAACAAGAAATCAGGCTCTCTCCACTGTATTTAAAGAGAAACAATGATTTTCCTACCAGGCAGTGGAGTTACCTACCCTAACCCGTTTCCTCCCATCCCACAAGGGGAGTAATGGCTATCTTCTGATTACAATTCAAACCTCTTGTGTGCCTATTCACATAACGTCCTCTTGTCCAAGATGGCCCTTTTCTCCCTCATAAGCCAATATAGGAAAGGTCCAATTAGTCAAGTAATATCTTCTTCAAGCCTCAAATGTTCAAATAAATCCTAGGTGATCAAAAAAACAGTAAAAAGCACACAACATGTACCAAAGACTTCCACCAGCTTTGTACTCTTGAGTCCTTCTCACAGTGGCAATGGTGAAGACTAGCTACGTCACCCTGCCTTCACAAGCCACCATGCCTGTGTGTCAGGCAGCTCTGCACGTTAAGGACACTGAAGAATGCCTTTAAGGCTGAAGTGTGGAGCATTACAAAGAGCAGGACTCTGTCTGCTGGCACCAGAACCAGGAAATGGCATTCCAGCTTTATTCTTGAAGATCTGGGGTACAGGAACATTTCATAATTCCTCCTTTGCCCTCCCCACTACAGTAGCATTGGGAAGATTTTGTTTAATCTGCTTTAAAAAAAAAATCCATTATTGTGCTTTGATACTGTACAAGATTGCTCCCACTTCACTTAAATATTTGTTTTAAAGCAGAGAAGTTGAACTACAGTGGCAGAACACCACATCACCTCCATACTAAAAAGTCAGCATCTCACCATGAGGACAACAGACAACTGGACTCCTAGCAGGTGGGACCCCTGCATCACTGCTGCCAGGCAAAGGTCTGCAACACCCACACTGAACTGCAGGTACAGGGACTGGAAAGTCAAATCAGGCAGTCAGGCACAGAGTGAGCTCTCTTAGCGCTTTTGCATTATTTCTTTTTCCCTTTGAAGCTGATTATTCCTTTGGTTTATTAAAGCAGAATGAAGACCGAAGCTGTCACCACACTTCTGTGGCCTTGACCAGCTCATTCCAGTGTTTCAGAGAGCTTTGCCAGCTTCAAGATAGAATCCAAAATTCAGATAATCTGTTCTTTACTTTGTTGGAGTCCATAATGAACTTCATTACATTAAAACCAGCAATTCCCATTATGTGCCTTTTAATAAGCAGCTAGACTGACTTGAGAAACTACATGAGATACGTTAGGCCTTTCTCAACTCTTTTCTCGCTATGAACCACTATGAAGGGGATATGACTTCTACGAATGATGATTTGTTAACACTAAGGCTCGACATGCCCAAAGTTATCAAAATAAAACAAACTCTTTAAGGCGGTAGTAAGGAATCATACCATTTAGAGCATACAAATCAGAATGACAACTCAAATAGACCAAAAGTGTTTAGGATTTGCTGGTTCTGTGAACAAGATGTAATTCGATATTTAAAAGAAAAAACAAACATACCAAATATCATTTATAACTTCTGCAGGAAGCCAGTTTATGAGGAAACACCACTTGCATGAGACTTATTTGCACCACAGAAGTATAAAGTCACTCAACTGCACTAAATGCTAGTCCAGCAGCACACATGTAAGTACCTGCTCTGTATCACTTACAAACCTAACTAAGAAACGACGAGTAAGAAAAGCAAGTGTTTTACTAATAAAGAACTGACTGACCCTGATCTAATCCATGTGTACGCATATGGTGAACCTTTCCTGCCATGATTCCATCATTTCTATACATAGGAAGTGATGACGCTTACTCAAGGGCAATTAAGCTTTGGGGCTGCAGACTCGGGTCTTCTGAGCATCAAACTCCTGCTGA